GGGCCGAAAGCAAACTGTTTCCAAATGAGAAAGTTCTAAATTAATTCATAGTCCTAGCCTATATTTTGTGCTAAAGTTATATTTAGAGAAGTTGTTGGACTTAAAAGATATCAAAAATTATTTCTATTCTTAAATTTCATTATGATAATAATGAGACGTTTCTTTTCTTTAGTTTCTTTGAAAAAATTTAATTTAATTTAATTTATATATCTTTCAGTAAAATTATTTAATAATTTTCACTTAATTCTCTCCTTTAAACTTGCATATGAATTAAATTACTCTTGAACTTCGGAAGAACTGCGGAGGATGGGGTCTTTTATTATCTCGGAAGTTTCAACAAATTCCAACAATACCTTTTTTAACAAATTGTTTAAAACACTTGAATGTAAACGAAATGATGTAACAATTGGCACAAATAAACAGCAATAATAACTCTCTTTTTACAAAAATATTGTACTTTCGGACTTAAAATTAAAGTCAACTTTCACAAATCCATTTTCAGACAAATTTTGGTGACCCTAACCTTATGTATAGGTCTATATTTCCTTATTTCCAACCGCCGTCTGTTGTTTGCTCTGTTCTTCAATTTCCAATTTTGAGGCCGGTATTTGCAAACGCCTGTTCCTGCTTTTTCTCCTTTCCTCGTCGGAGAGGGAAATATCGCTGTGCGATGGAGATGGAAAGATTTGTATCTCGCTGCTTTCTGCCTGGCTGCGAAAAGTTGTTGCCGGCACATTCAACAATTGCCAAATGGCTGGAAGAATGTGCGTGTTGCTGCCAAAATTGATTCGCGGCTCAGGCAGCAGCTATAGCGAAGTGCCGAGTCACTCTCTCCACCACTCTCGCGCCGCTGGCTGCGGAATTTTGATGTGGTTGACTGAAGAGGTGCACTTATTTTCCGCAGCTGGGAAAGCTCCGTAGTGTATCCATGTGAGGACAGGAGCCGTGTGTACGATATGAAGTGGAGAACATTGATTTTGTCCTTCTTGTGTAAAAAAGTTGCTGTCGTCAAAAGAAATTTATTTTTTTTGTTACATCATTAAGATTTTTTCAACAATTGAATGAAATTATATTTAAAATTATAATTATTTCTAGTTGATAATAAATAATTTTAATTTTGCTATAAATTTTTTCATGTAAAAAAACTTACTAAATTTTTGTGAGAATTTTTATTTAAAAAAAAAATATAGATCTGTTTTTTTTTCAATGGAAGTTTTGTTTGCATTCCAAGAAACTCCAAAAGTTCCATTCTGAAATGGAAATTATTCTTTGATACGGGACATTAACCCCAAATCATAAACTTCCAGTTCGTTCCCCCTTTCAAAAAAGCATAGAATTCCGTGCTGCATTCCACATTTTGCTCCTAATTTCCATCGCAGTCGCAAACTTTCCCGGCGTAATTTGCACATTTATGGCATTCACTTCTTTGACCAAGAAAAGAAGATAAAACGTTCGCTCTCTTTCATTCCGGGTAAAGTTCCCGCAACGAACGTAAAAAATATACTCCTCCGCTCTTTCAAACTCGTTTCTTTCTTTTCCGCTCTCTGTAGCTAATTTGAAAGCAGAGGAAAATTTCCCTCGATCGAATGGAAAAGATGACACGAAGGGGAAGAAAGAATTCCAATTTTTCGCCGGCAAACACACATAAAAAAATCATTATACCCCTCATCAATTCCGAGAGACGCCTTGATGAAAATTCAAATTCGCCCTTTCCCGTATCAATTTTTTCCCCGTCGCATTAGTTTTATTGCGCACCTCGGCACACAAGAAGCGCTACTTTAATTGAAACAAAAGCCTGCGCGCAAATAAATTTCCTTCCTCGCCATTTGACTCGCGCACTCGTTCTCCAATTCCATCAGCAACCCTTAAACTTTATTGGAGGATCGAGTTTTGAAGCGAAAAAAAAAGAAAAAACGGCGGCGCCTGAAATGTAGATCTCACATCTCACACCCTTCCTAACTTTTACTAGCATGCGGAACTCGCAGCTTTTCCCTAAGAGTGCCTAAGAGGAAAAGAAAATTAAATAGTTTATTTAAATTTATAATATTTTTATTAGCGTTCATTAAAAATGAACAAAATTTCAAAATACCGGTGGTTTATTTAAATTTTTTAGCTCAAGTTTTAGGATAAATTGACATTTTTCAACTGAAATTGTAGAAAAATAGTGATCACCTTTGATTTGGAAAGTTATAAAGCTTGTATTAAGGGCTGTTTTTAAACGAAAAGTTTTTAAGATGATGTTAAAAGTAAAATTATGTATTGCAAAGTTGTTAGTGATAAGTCTCAAAATGGGTTATTTCAGATTGAAAATAGGTTTAAATTTTTGCAAAACAGGTTCTAACTGTGGGAAAATTTACCCCATACATAATTTCATCCAAATAATTAAACGAACAAAGAAATTAAAATTAAGAGAGAGAAAATAATAATTTTCATAAAAAATTGCTGTTTGAAATTTTGAATATTTTATAAAACTCTCTAGAATTTTAATTATAACTCTAATAAAAGATATATTTAGGCTTTACTTGTAAATTTTAGTTCATTTAAAAAAAAATGAGTTGAAAAATGACCGTTTTGCCAGTAATTTTAGTTTATTTAATTTTTTGAAGCTTTTTAATTGCTCAATTCAACATTATTTGAGCTAGTTTTTCACATGCAAATATTGCAAATTTAGTTTCAAAACCCCTCTTATATTTAAACTATTTTTTGTTACGATCAATCAAAACTTGATATTAAGTTACATAATAGTTTTCTGCCTCCCCTTTATAAAGTTCTGGTTGGTGCGTCTCTAAAATTTTCAAAGGCTGCTGTGTATAGCGGCCTAAATTCGCTCGCGGGCGTCAGAATGCATTAACAATATTTGCTTTCCAGTCGCCGGCCGGCCGTTCCATGCACTACTATTATCATAAAGTGTGGTGCATTTTAATTCTCCATGCATTATTTAACAGCAGCTGCATGCATGTGCGCACGACGTTATGCATGACCGTCGTTTCAGGCGCAAATAGCCACCGCGGCAGACGGCACTCGACTCGGTCTAGCCGCACGTTATTAAATTCAGAGTAATAGAGAAGAGCACACGTTGTCATGCACGGCCCAAGCATAACTAGTGCGGCAGGCACTACAGAAGCAAAGAGAGGGAGACGCAGACATGCCTGTTAAGAGGCGGTGGATCTAAACTTTTAATAGAGCTCGTTAGTTTCCGCATGAAATCTAATTTATTCATTGATTTACTTGTGGAAAAATTTGCAACATAAGAGTCTTGTAAATAATTTAGTTTTATGAAGAAGAAATTAAAATTTAATTAAAATGAAAAATTTTATAATCAGAATTACACCCAAACTCTATCCAAAGTCAAAATTTTAAAATTAAAATTTTATTTTATTAACCGGATTTTTTCATTTTTTAATATTTTCTAATTTTAAGAAAAATAAATGATTTATTATTTGTTGAATATTAAAAAATTTTAATTTAAAACAATCAAATTTTATATTTTTAAAATAAAATTGTGAATTTTATTTTAAAATTTAATTCAATTTTATCAATTTTACCCTCAAATTAATTTTATTTAATTTTAAATTGTCATCTCTACTTCATTTATAAATTGAACTTGTTATCATTTTTAATTAATTTTATTAAAAAAACCTTACTTTACCAAATTAGAATTTTTAAGCAAGTTAAAATTAATTTTTCCAATTCTAACCTTCTGTGTTGGTAAAAGAAATTAAATTGAAAATAGCTATGATATCATTTGTGATTTAATCGATTTAGAATCGGTTTGATACGACCGGGTGTACCGTTTCGATTGTTCACGTCGGCCAGCGGCGGCGGCGGCGGAGATGTTAAGCAACCAGCTCCGCTGCGGGCAGTGTTGAGAATGGACCTCATTTAAGGGGGCGTGCAGGGGTATCGAACCTGCGGATGGCCCCGGCTGCTAAAAAGCGAGAGAAAAAGCCGGTTGCTTCCCCGCTGCGCGCGAGGTGGAATTTTTTATTCAATTACACGCGCAGTCTCTTCTCTTCTTGCGCCGAGACTCGAAAAGGTTTTCCATTTAGGAGAATAATTTGCCGGAACTAAATATTAATTAACTACCTGCCATTGTTCGCCGCTCGGAGGTCGCTCGGCGCGGAAAAAACGAAGAACAAGTTGCCGAGGGCGAGATTGATTGGATCGAGCAGAGTTTTGAATTGGGAAGCGGCAAAAAGTCCAGATTCAATATTATGGCTTTTTGTCCTTTTGTCGAGTTTGGTTATTACTTTTGCAGAGCACATCGGTGATTGATGAGTTTGGCCGGAATCGCGACTAGAGTGTTAAGCAAGAATATTCAAGCATAACAAATTAATTTGATTGTATTTTTACAATCAATCTTTCGCTAGAAGTTTTCTAAATCTAGACTACGTGATCAGAAAAGAAAAACAATTATTCGTTTAATTACATTCGAACCAAAATTAATTTTGTTATTGCATTTAAAATAAATTAAATTTTAAACAATTTGAAAAGTCAGGATGAATGAAAATAAAAATGGATAATTTTAATTTTTTATTTTCATTAAAAGAAAATATTAATAATTACACCATGGCTCAGAAGAATCTAAAAAAAAAAACTAAAAAATAAAAATCTGATTATTTTTCAAAAATATTATTTTCAACTCATATTTTTAAAATTTTGTTGACATCTTTTATAGATTTTTAGAAGAAAAAATCCAATTTACTTTCAAAAAGCCTAACAAAAAATTAATGCAAATTTAATTCTATTTTAAAAGTCTGTTTATTTTATTATTTCATTTTTTAAAATCCTCAAGAGATTTTAAAATTAAAAGGGGACTGAATAAATTTGTACTTGAAAAAATGGTTGTGAAATAAATATGATTTTTTTCAATAAAAAAAACCGTGTGGTTTGCTCCGTCGATTTATTTCTATCCATCATTTTATTGTAATACCTTTTCACTCTTTAATATAAATTTATTGGTAAGCAAACTGACCTTTGTCCTTGTCTTTTGTCCGCAGGTGCACCGTGAGAAGGGAATGCCAAAAAGCGGCGCACAGCTCTCCGAGGTGGCTGGCCTTAGGCTCGGGTCAGCAGTGTATTGACTTTGAGCAAGTGCTCCCAGATCATATTCCTATTAATCAAATGACTGCTGTAAGTTGTTTACTTTTTTATGAATAGCTTTCGAACGCTTCACGGGCTCTCATTGATTTTATCTTTGCCACGGGATGGGTTCGCTCGCTCTAGCTCTCTCGTGAGTCTCAAATGAGCACATTCATTTTCAAAAGCTGACAAACGGCCATTTTTTTGCGGCCCGCGAATGAATAAATCAATGCCGAACGCGGTAATTTGCGAGCGCGCGCGCCGGATTACTATTTTTTTTTTTATTCGCTCGCGGAAAACTTGGGGCAGAGAGAAGTTTGGCAAAGTTGGCCGGGCTCAATTTGCGGTTCGATTGCTCGCCGAGATTTTTCCGACATGAACACGCCCCGCAGGCATTCCGAGAGTTCTTGTCGAATTTATTAATTTTTTTCGTGGAGGATGAGAGGATCAATCTGCAAACTTGGAATAAAAACGTTCCTTTCAATAAAATGTAATCAATAATACAGAAATATACGAGATTTCTATTTAACATAACAAAAAAATTGCTTTATAATTGAATTTAAAATCCGTATTTAAATCTATTCGTAAATTTATGGATAATGTTGATATAGAGATTATTTTTTGAAATTTGATTATTAAAAAAATTTGTTTCTGCAAATAAAATAAAACAAAACTTTAATTTTCACAACATTGTAACTTTTTATTAATTGGTAAAAATTTGATTAATTATATAAATTTAATTTTAATTTTTAAACAAAGTAAAAAGATGATATTAAATGAGCAGATAACAATTATTTAATTAAAAAGAGTGTCTTTTATATTTCTTACAAAAACGCTGGAATATTAAGTACAAATAATTGATTTAAATGATATAAAATCAAATGATTTTACATTTATTTTGTAAATGAATCAATTAACAGCTTTAATATCCTCAAATTTAACAAATTTTCACGTTTTATTTCAATTTTTTTTTATCAAATCTGCAGGTCCAACTGACAATCCGCACCCTTCCCGAGTTGCCCTCCGGGGCCAAGTACAAGTGCGTCTTCGGCGGCGCCGACCCGATCGACGCCTCGGTGACGGCGAACGGACTGACCTGCATGTCACCGCCCGTCCAACGCCGGCCCACGATTCCCGAAGAGCAGGACCACATCTTGGTGCCGTTGTCGGTGCGTTCCTCGGAGACCAACAAGGACTTCGTGAGCCGAAACTTCGCCTATTACGACTGCAGCCGACACTCGACGTGCCGCGAGTGCGTCCAGTCGCAGTGGGCGTGCAACTGGTGCGTCTACGAGAACAAGTGCACGCACAACACCTCCTCGTGCCAGAGGACCGTGGTCAGCGGCGAAAATGTAAGCATCCTCCATATGCTCCAACAGGTACCTCCAAAAAACACTTCCTCTTAAGTTTGCTCTCTCTATCGGAATGGAAAAAAAATTTCAAACTCTCTGGACTGCCGAGCTGCTTCTACTGGATGGATTATTTTTATTGTTTCTTCTTTTTGCTCAAAATCTTCTGCAAGGTCCGCTCGTCAGAAAATTTCGATTGTTGTCGAGCTCTCTGATTGGGTACAACTTTTCTTGTACCCAATCAGAGAGCTCTAACAACAATCAAATCATTTTTCATTGTTGCTGATGCGCGGACCTTGATCTTCTGAATGTTTTTAATTTTTAGAGAGCAATTATTATTTTTTTAATTATTTTATTGCCTGTTATCCCTTCTATAGAATTACTTGAAATAAAAAAGAGCATGTTTTTATGAAATCAATTTTTGTAAATTAAAATTTTGGAACTTGTTGTTAATGAAACTCATATTTGACAGAATCCAACCCAATTGGCCGCTCAGGGAGCAAAGTTTTGTCCTCGGTTTGTGGACTCAGACGACAGCATCCTCCTGCCCAACAACGTCCAAAAGGAAATTCGCCTGCAGGTAGACAACCTGCCTCACCCTCAGGCTGGCCACTCGGGATTCCAGTGCATTGTGACCATCGAAGGCGCCAAAATGATGCTGCCCGCCAGGGTGGAGCAGCACCGATTCATCGTTTGCGACATCACACCAGTATGTTTTTTTTTCAAAATGTTTTTTAAAATTAAAATTTTAATTATATTTTGTTGAAATTTCAGTACTCTTATGAAGCAAATACCGGAGAGTACCAAGCGAGTTTGACCCTCGTGTGGAACAGAAACCACTTCGTCGACACCACCAACATCACTCTGTACAAGTGCGAGATCTTGGGCTCTCACAGGGAACACCCAGACTGCTCCCTTTGTGTCACGAGCAACGCCAAGTACGAGTGCTCCTGGTGCGGAAACAAGTGCAGCTACAGCAACAGTTGCCTCCAGACGCCTGTCAACGAGTGCCCAAAACCGAGGATTGATATGGTAAGTTTAATTTACTTTATTTAATAATAAAATTTATTTTATTCCAATAATTAAAATATTCAGGAAATTCAATAAAATATTAATATTTTATTATTATTTTAGATTAAACCTTTAAGTGGCCCAATTGAGGGTGGCACCCTGGTAACCATCGAGGGCAGTGATTTGGGTCTGAAAGAGGAAGACGTCAAGGGAAGAATCAGCATCGGAAGCATTCCTTGTGAACTGGTCAATTACCAAGTGTCAGTTCGAATCGAGTGCAGGACTGGAGCATCGATTGATGGAGAAATGACTGCCCCTGTAATTGTTGGCAACGAGGCTGGAATCACCGAGTCTGTTGTCCGCTTCAGCTACAAGGTTGGATTTCTTTTTTACTGAAAAAAATCAATTGTTTTTATGCCATATCTATTTTAAATCATTTAATATTTTTTTCATGTCTTTTACAGAACATTGTTTTGGAAGGATTGTACCCTTCTATGGGCCCTGAGAGTGGAGGCACGCAATTGGCCATCACCGGCCAGTTTCTGAACATCGGCTCCACCGTTTTCGCCTCTTTGGACGATCTGCCCTGCCAGGTCAACATGACCCAGGCCTCGAGCAGTCGAATCACTTGCACCACCTCCAAATCCAGTGGCCCAAGTCGAATCAACCGCCTCACCCTCAGCATTGACGGCGCCAACCGAACCTTGGAAGGAAACTGCTTCAACTACACAATGGACCCGACCATCATGGACATCAAACCGTTGAAGAGTTTTGCCTCTGGAGGCAGAATGATCACAATCCACGGAACAAATCTGGACTCCATTCAACAGCCCGAAATGGTTGTTTACAACGAGGATGACCCCAGTCCTATCAACAGGACGGTTAGTTTCAATTTTTTAAAGTTTTTTTTAACCTCATTTAGATTTAGACCAATTTATAAATTTTTTTATCCTCTTTCATTTTATATTCAATGGAAAATTTAATTCAATTTCTAGACTTGCACTGTACTGAGCCATGCCCACATGGAGTGTCCGTCTCCGCCTATCAATCTCGAGTTCCTGACGGCCTCCAGACAGAAGCGTTCGCGTTTCCAAAGGTCCCTGCAGAAGTTCAAAGAGTCCATGTACCGTATAGGATTTGTTATGGACAACGTTGAAACCGTCCGCGACCTGGTAAAGTACTTTGACAACATTCCGTCGCTTCTGACCTACGTCGATGACCCGAAAATCTTCCAATTCCCAAACCACATCAAACTCTACAAAGGGGACACCCTTGTGATCGAGGTCAGTTTTCACTTTACAGAATTAATAAATTTTATTTCTCATTGGTCTAGAAATTTGGTGAATTTTCTAACTTTTCCCGTCTTTATTTGCCTTTCAAATCAGGGTGAAAACCTGAACCTTGCGAGTGATGAGTCGGATGTCAACGTGACCATTGGCACCCGTCCCTGCAACGTGACCTCGCTAGCAATGACCCAACTGGTCTGCACCCCTCCTGATGTCCAACCCTACGGCACTGATGAGCTCGGCATCCGGACTGACTCCAATCTGCCGCTGGTGGTAGTCAGGGTTGGACAGACGCTGCGCTTCCCCATCGGCTACCTCAAGTACGAGGTCATGAAGCCGTACAACTTCCCGGACGAGGCCATTTTCGGAATCGCCGGCGGCACCGTTCTGCTGGTCATCCTCTTTGCAGCCGTCCTCATCGTTTACAGAAGAAAGTCCACCCAAGCCGAGAGGGAGTACAAACGCATCCAGATCCAGATGGACACCCTTGAAAGCAACGTGCGCTCTGAGTGCAAGCAAGGTAGGTTCATCATTCAAATGATTAAAAATTAATTAATTAATCGAGGTCGCAGGATTTTTAGACATAGAAATGTTTTGCAATTAATATGTTAATAACCTTTTTGTGGTTTAAGGCAGATTTTTTCACAGACCAAATTTTTTACGCTTTTTTATTTTGGTGGTTTCTTCTCTCTTTTTAACTTTTCCCTTTTTGCTTATTTTTAAAAATTATTTTTCGAGAAGCCACCGCACTACTTTTTCATTTGATTCACACCTTATTTTTAATTTGAATTAACCTGTATATTAGTTTAGTTGAAATATTTTAGTTGAACCACTGATGATGTTGAAGGGCTTTTTTCTGCCTTTTCTTTGCAGCTTTCACTCAGATGTGCACCTGGGACCCGCGACGTAATGGTGGTTCATATCTGCATGGTATATCACAAAACACTATCTCTACTCCCCCCGCGCCTCTCTGTCTCTCTATGTACCTCCTCCTCTGACTAACTAATTAGCAGCTTTAACCATGAGTAGCCACTTACGCCCGACTAACAGGCTGAACGACTTCCTTCTCTTGCAGCCGCATGCCGGACTAACAATCGCCTCACGTGCACTCCTCTTCTGTCTTGTCGGCGAGCAGCCACCCTCCTCCTCGGTGGGGTGCAATCTCAATTTGTTCCAACTGAACCGAGCGCTTAATTCTTGTTAATTTGTCTCTCAGCTTTTGAACCTTAACGGCTTGAAAGGGAAGTTTGAGACTGTGAGCCATGTTTAAATTTTTTGGGGCTTTGAATTATTCCAAGTATTTTTGCTTAAATATTAAATTAATTTAATATATCATGCAGTTGATGAATCCATATTCTTTGGCTCATTCCTTTGTCATTTGAAAAGCTTGAGTAAAAAATAGGGAAATATATTTTCTTTCCAGACCTCTCGTTGCTATTTTTGGTTCGGAAACGACAATTTAGTAAATTTCCTAATCAGATTTATGAGAATGTTGATTTTTTTTATTATTTATTTCTATGCCAAAAATAGCAACGAGGATTGTTATCAAGGCCAGGCCGAATTATATAAATGACCATTTTGCATGCGATTTGCGCGCGACGTTGCTAAAAAAATTGACTATTGTTTGACGCTAACCTCTGTCCTGTTGGATTAACCGCTTGAATTTTTGTCTCTGGTCTTCTTCTAGCTTTCGCTGAACTCCAAACAGATATGACCGACCTGACCGCCGACCTCGAGACCTCCGGCATCCCCACCCTGGACCACAAGAGCTACATCATGAAGGTTTTCTTCCCAGGTGTCAACGACCATCCCATTCTGAACGACCCAAAGGTGAGAGTTGCAAGTCACAATAAATCAATGCGACTATTCTCATGCTAATTTTTTCTCATTCCGCTCAAGCAGGTCAAGATTTCCGCGCCCAGGACCAACTACGACGCGGCCATGCTGCAATTCGAGCAGCTCGTCAGCAACAAAAACTTCTTGTTGACTTTCATTGACACGCTGGAGTCTCAAAAGTCTTTCAACATTAGAGATAAGTAAGTGGATAATCATACAATTATTTAAAATAAAACAAATCAGAATGTTAAATAAAATAAATTTTTTAAGTTATTTAATTTACGCTAAAATCTTAAATTATTACATTTTTATTCAACTTCAATGGATCAATTAAAAATTTTGGGAATATAATTTGCAGTGTTTGATTTTAAATTTTATAATTGAAGGAAATAAGTAAAAAGTTGGCATTTTTGAGATTTTATTTTGTTTTCGTAATTTTAATCAATTTTTGTGTCTTCTTTTTAGGGTGAATGTGGCCTCCCTTCTGATGGTGGTCCTCATGGGCAAGATGGAGTACGCCACTGAAATTCTTCGGTGCCTTCTCCTGCGCCTCATTGACAAGTCTGTCGGAAACAAACACCCGCAGTTGATGCTGCGCCGCACAGAGTCGGTGGTGGAGAAAATGCTGACCAACTGGATGGCTCTGTGCATGTACAACTACCTGAAGGAGTACTCGGGCTCGTCGCTCTTCCTCCTCTTCAAGGCCATCAAGTACCAGATCGAAAAAGGGCCCGTCGACTCTGTCACACACGACGCCAGGTACTCCCTTTCTGAAGAGCGCCTTCTCCGAGAACAAATTGACCATGGCTTTGTGGTGAGTTCCGTTTGAATTTTTTTCTATTTTTTTGCTTTGGCTTGCTTCGATGTTGTTTGGAAAAATAATAGACACAAAAATTAGTCGCTGTTTCCCATATTATTTAATTTTTTTAAACAAAATTTAAAAAAAATCATTTTGGCAAAGTGATTGTATTTATATTGATTTCTATTTTTTCTCTTCCTCTCCCCAGACGATTCACCTCGTGCAGGAGGATCCGCATTATGAGAAAATTCCTTACCATCAAAGATATCAAGTATGTGCTTTTCAAAACAGTTTCTTTTGCTCTTTCCTCTTTTAAACCCTTTCTATACTTTTAATTTTCACCCAACCCAATAGAATTGATGCTTTTGCTGTAGATTAGAAATGCTTTTTTATATTTTAATAAAATAAATATAATATTATTTTAAATCAGAGAATTTAAGAAAGAAATTTAAAAAATTTGCAGTTTTAATTCAACCTTCTTGAATTTTTTTTTTCTTATCTATTTAACTAAATTATATATAAACCTCATTTTCTCATTCAAAATCTACATTTTTTAAACAAATCCAGTGTTTTTTTAATAATTTAATTTCCTGAATTTCCAGACTCTCCATGTGGTGCAGGAGGACGTGGACGAGAAGATCCAATGCAAAGTGCTCGACTGCGACACCATCAGTCAAGTGAAGCTGAAAATCCTGGACGCCCTGTACAAAAACACGCCCTACACGCTTCGACCGTCCATCCACGAGATCGATCTCGAGTGGCGCCACGGCCGCGGAGGTCACCTGACCCTGCAGGACGAGGACCTGACCACCAAGACCATCAATGGCTGGAAGAAGATCAACACTTTGGCGCACTACGGAGTCAAAGATTCGGCCGTCATGTCGCTCATCCCGAGACAAAACGACGCCTTCAACTCAAACTGCAAACAGCCGTGCCAAAATTGCACCGGGTCTTCGTACTTCACCAACACCATCTCGCCCATCATCACCAACAATGGGGACATTGAATCTGGGGGACATTCTGGAAATGCCAAGGTTCGTTGAATATTAAAATAAATATCATGAAAAATTCAATGAAAATTTGTCATAAAAATTTGTTGCTTTTCCTTTTAAATTTTTATAATTTAATTCATGAAAGATCAACATTTCTTATAACAACAAATTTTTGCTGCATTTTGTGAAATTTTTAAATAAACTTAATTAATTTTGTCTTCAGATTTACCATCTGGTGAGACAGTTGGACGAGAACCACTATCAGAACAACAAGAACGCCTCGGAGCGGACACACAAAGCTATTCCTGAGATTTTCCTGACACGCTTGCTCTCCACAAAGGGCACAATTCAGAAGTTCGTCGACGACTTCTTCAACACCATCCTCACTGCCAACGAATCTCTGCCTCCAGCCATCAAGTGGCTCTTTGACCTGCTCGACGAGGCTGCCAGAAGGCACGGAATTACTGACCCTGAAGTTGTGCACGCCTGGAAATCCAACAGGTAAAAGATTTGCAAAATTGAAACATCAAGCTCTTAAATTTTTTCCATTTTGGAAGCATAAATAATAATAAGAAAAAAAAAATAAAGGAAAAATTACAAACTAAATATTACATTCAATTTATCTACAATATTTTGGCATCTTTTCTGAATTTCCTTTTCCACACTTTTATGCATCTTCATTTGTTATATAAATTTTTAATAAAATTTATCATGAAAATAAAACTTCATTTCAGCCTTCCACTGCGGTTCTGGGTAAACTTCATCAAGAACCCCGATTTCATTTTCGACGTCAACAAGACGACGACCGTCGACTGCTGCCTCTCTGTGATTGCCCAGACCCTGATGGACTCTTGCTCGACCTCGGAGCACAGGCTCGGCAAGGACTCGCCCTCCAACAAGCTGCTATTCGCCAAGGACATTCCCAACTACAGGGAGATGGTGTCCCACTTTTACTGTGACATCCAGATGCTGCCACTAATCACCGACCAGGAAATGAGCACAGCCATGCAGCAACTGTCCGTTTCGCAGATTGGCGAGTTCGACGTCGTCTCGGCCCTCAAAGAGCTTTACATTTACGTCAATAAGTATAGTGAGCAGGTAAGAATTAAAGCATTTAATTAATTTTAAATACTTTATTCAATAAATTTAATAAAAAGAAATTTTAAAAAAATAATTTTTAGTGATTTGAATTTCTACAAAATTGCTTTAATGTTTGAAAATAAATATAAATGAAAATTAATTTAGTTTTTTAAATTAACAGAAATTTTTTACTACTTAAATTAAAATAAAATTATTTAATTTTGTAACTAATTTAATGATTTTCAATTAATTTTTTCTCTCTCTCTCTCTCTCCAGATATTTGATGCTCTTGAGACTGACCCATACTGTAAGAAAATGCACTTGGCTCACAAGCTGGAGAACGTGGCGTGCACGCTGGAGGGCGAAGAGACGTCAACGTGCTGACGGCGCGGGTCACCTGATCTTCTCCTGTCCAGCCCTTTCTATTGACAGGCCTGAGTTTTGCGGAAAACTACTGCCAAACTGTGATATTGCTAAGCACACACACACACAATTCTAGAGGGAGATTTCACCATTCAGCCGGCCGGAGTAGCAGAAAGAAAGAGACTTTTCACCCGATAAATATACTTATTGTGATCTTTTTGTAAGAAATTAAAAGCATCTCCGGATTAGTGACTTTCGAGGCGAATAGAGAATTGCGTTGGTGCAAATGGACAAACTTTGTTTTCGTGCAGTGTGTTTAACCACAGAAGAGAGTAGAAGATTTTACTGATCAGGTGACCTAGTTAGCTTTTTCATGTGTATACTTGTTTTATTTTTTGTATAACGATGGATATATTTATAATATTATTCCGAAACGCGAATCACATTTGATTTTTTGTGAGATACTTTGAAGAACAGGCTCCGAGGCTTTTCTGAAAAATTTCCTATTTTCGAGTGCCTGCGATCAATTGTTGATTGCAAGTCATTCCTAATATTGCAAAAAGAAGTTCTTGCGTCCTGGTAAAAACAGAAAAGAAGTCATTTTGGTCTTCATTATTGATTGTCAGAGTTAAATCAGCAAAAAATTTCAAATACAACGGCATTCCTATTAAACTCTCTTTTAATTCTCAACTTGAAAGCAAAAGACTGAATTTGGAACCTGCTCCAATCCGACAAGAGTGAATGACCGGAGCGGAGATTGAGAAGCTGTTGAAAGCCACCCTTATTCAAGCTGAATATTTTTATTCCTTTTCTCCGAGCCTCGCTAACAACCCTTTAAAAAATTTCCATCAATGCCAAATCATTTAATTGATTTTGTCCAAAATTTCAATTATTTCAGAAAATAAATAATGCTGTTGTCGTATTAAAAGAAAAAATCTGCTGGTCGTGTATTTCGAAAGAGTAAATGTTTGATACTTCAGAGCAAAAATAAATATCTGTACAGAAATTACCTAGTCTAGGTGGATGGCAACATAATTAATTCTCGATGCAACCAACTTGAAATGTGTCTGATGTTAACTTATCTAAAAATTTGTGTACCATTTGTAAATAAAGTAAAGAAAAAAATGTACTTTCTCCTCAGCAACACAAAACCGATGGCATTTTTCCTGTAAATAAGCGCGTAGACCGACTCGGATTCCGAGTCAAATTAACAAACATTTTCCGTTTGCCATCTGTCCTGTTATCACTTAAGAGACAAAAGGTTGTCTAAATTACGAGGAAAAAAGAAAAACTGATTGTTGAGCCTATATTTGGGAGATTTTGAAAGGGAAATATTCAGATGTACTCGCGCGGCACACACACATGTATAACAAATTTTTACAGAAATAACATGTACTAAAAACTATTGATCTCAAATTAATTGTAAAATGCGGTGCTGTCTAGTTTTGTCTACAAATCATTTTAATCTGGTTGTTTGATAATTTGCAGAAATAATTTTTAACTCTCAGTGTCTGATGAAAAATCGATTGCCGTACATCTATAATATTTTTGGAAAAAATTCAAATCTTGTACAATTAATCCGCATTGTACACCATTCTGCATGTGCTTGTTGTGCCCTTGGATATGATATTTGAAATATAAATAACGTCTGATATTTATATTTTGATTGAAAATCCCTCCATCCCAATAAAAAATTATAAAAATATAAAAAAATTTAATTATTTATATAAACCTTGGTTATAATTTTTAAGATTGCCTCAATGAATAAAAATAATCTAGAATAAAAAATGTTTCTCATCAGTCATCAAGTGCGACCTTGGAGAAGATAAATAATCGCATCGTTAGAAAAGTAGTGGGACGTGCGTCAAGTGGCATCGAAATTTTTTGTCTGCACTTTTGTGAATAATGACAGGCAGAAATGATTAAATCCCGCCTCATTCTCCTCTCTCGCGCCTCAAAATTTGGCCCGTGATGCAACTTTTAACTTTTCCTCGCTCAGTTTAATCAGCGAATCCAAGATGCGAACAGAACCTTTTTTGTGCGCGCTGCTTTGCCTTTTCCTAGGCGAATTTACTTCGGGAGCTAAAATTTTAGCAGTCCTGCCGGTGGCGTCGCCGAGTCACGGAATCTGGAATAAGGCCCTGATCGAAGCCCTGGCCGATAAAGGTCACGACCTGACGGTGCTGTCGGCCAACTCGGGAAAGAACAGGCCCAATTTGCGTTACGTCGAAATAGAGAACTCGTTCGAAGGCGCCGACGACATCCCGTTCGCAGATATAGCCGCGTTGAATTCGTTCGGAAATATCGTGTTCGTCTTTGAATGGCTCTACATGACTTGCCAGATGCAGATCAAGGCCAATGGCACCAGAGAAGCCATCCTGGATTCCAAAGAAAGGTCTAAAAATATTAAAATATTTTCTGAGTTTAAGCTTTATTTAAAAAAAAAATTATTTTCATATATATAAAAATCATAAAAATAATTTTTATATGAATAAATTTATATTTTATACTTTTTTAATGATTTTTCTAATACTATTTTTAATAGTTTCTTGATTAAAAAATAATATTTTAAAGCAATTAAAAGATCAGCATAAATTAACTCTTTTGAGTTTGCATAAATGTCAGGCCTGGCCTTCCTGATCCCTTCCTGTTCTTGAATGAGGAGGCTGATGATGGAGCAAAATAATTAAAAAGAGGAAAACAATTAAAGCACCTTTGATAGATTTCAAAGTTTTCCTTAATTTTAAGTTTTACTTCAAATATTTTGAAAAATTAATTCACTATTAATTCAACTAAGATGTGTTGACATTCTTGAATTTGATAGTAAATTGTTCATAAATAAGAATTTTATTGACCTTTGCTGTGTTAAATTTTATTCATAATAAAGATTAATAATTTTTCAAATTTTTATAAAATATAAAAATTTTTAATGATAATAAGTTGAAAAAATAATTAGTAATTTCAAATTATTAACATTATTATACATATTTATTTATAACGTATTAATAAGAACTTTAAACCCTTAAATTTTTCTAAACGCATTGGAATTTTTTTAGCAAAATGATCAAATAACAACAGGCAGCGATAGAAACTTAAATTTATAAAATTTTACTTGCATCAATTAAAAATTAAAAATAATAATAATTATATAAACTCTTGTGTTCTTGGACAGATATGATCTGATAATTTACGAGTCAACCGGCGTCGACTGCTTTTTGGGCACGATGCACAAATTCGCCGGCACGCCGTCCGTGGCGATTTCCGCCTACGGCTTCTCCTGTTTCAACTGCGACCCCACGGGCGTCTGGTGCCCCCCGTCGACCGTCCCCGTCGAGTGGTTCCCCGTGCCCGACGAAATGAGCTTTTGGCAGCGCCTGCACAACTGGGTGCTCGTGCAGACAACCAAACTGACCTTCCACTGGTACCACACGCCCCGACACCAAACCCTGGCCGAGAAGGCGTTCGGCCCTTTGCCGCCGATTCGGAGTTTGGACAAATTTGACCTGTTCCTCTCCAACACCGGCCCGGTCGGCGTTGACCTGGCGAGGCACCTGCCACCAAATGTGAAGGAGGTCGGCTGCGTCCAGTGCAGAAAAGGAAAACCATTGGAAAAAGTAAAAATTTACAAAATTATTAATTTTTTTCATATATAATTTTTTTAAGGACTTGCAAGAATACTTGGACAGTGCAAAAAACGGTTTCATCTTCATGAGTTTCGGCAGCAACGTTAAAAGCAGTCTTCTGCCCAAAGAAAAAATTGACATATTTTTGAAAGTTTTCGGAGAACTCGACATTAAAGTTCTGTGGAAATTTGAGACCGATTTGCCTCAGAAGCCGAAAAACGTCATGATCAAAAAGTGGTTGCCACAGCAAGACATTTTGGGTACAACCTAAATTATTTAAATTATATTTATTAACAAAAATTAAATTCTAGCTCATGAGAATATAAAGCTTTTCATCACACACGGCGGACGTTTGAGTGTTCAAGAGTCGATGTACCACGGCGTGCCAATGTTGGCTGTGCCGTTTTTTGCAGACCAGTACATAAATGGACAAAAAGCTGTGAATAAAGGAGTCGGTCTGAAACTCCACTTGCCCAATTTGACAGCCGAAAATTGGAAAAATTCCATCGAAACTATTTTAAATAATCCAGGGTAAAATTTTTTTAAGGTTTTATAACATTTTCGCCAAAATAATTATCGGTTTTGTAGATTTTCAGAGAGAGCAAAAAGGCTGTCCTTGATTGCAAGTGATGAGCTTGAAAGTCCTCTTGAGAGGGCAGTATTTTGGACCGAGTACGTCATCCGACACAAAGGGGCCAAACACCTTCAGCCAGCCGGTTCGCACCTGAATTGGGTGCAGCTACACTCTTTGGATGTTATATCATTTCTAATGACAATTTTAATTGTCACTGCGACTGTTGCATTGTTAGCGATAAAATTAATTTTAGAATTAAGGAAAAAACAAAAGTTGAAGAAAAAGTGAACAAGAAAATAGAGATAAGATTGTGTTCATATCCAAGATTTATCATCTCAGTTAATGCATTTCATTCAATTAACAAAAAAAAATATATAATTTGTAAGGAATAAAGGCAGAGTGCATATAAGCCTACCTTGAAATTAACGAAGACTTTCATTTTTCTTCTCCAATCTTGAATAAAGAAAGTTTTGCACCATCCTATAAGTGTGAGATATTTTTTTATTAAAAATTTCAAGCAAAATTTTAAATTTCAACCTTTAAATCATGGTAAATTTCTTATTCAAAGTCATCAGAGTGCTCATCTATAGGCTGTTTCTTGCCCTCCGCACTCAGGCAGTAGTCTTGCCCATCTTGGACAACTTCTCCATCATTCTTGTAAACCCTTCTGGTGCGTTTGTCAACACCAGGTCCAAAGTACTCCCAGTAAGGGAAGCGGACGTAAGGATCAAGAGGCGTCTGTGTTCTTTTGTTGGTCAGTCTCTTCACCTTGGACTGAGTGTTCCGAGTAGTGCAGGATTTCAGCTCAACCACGTCGTCTTCTTCCTCTTGTTCTTCAGTATTGACCCCGATGGACTGGAAGCTCTTTTCAGGCTGTGGGCTGGAAATAGGTGCAGCAGACCTGAAATTTCAACATTTGTATTAAATTTACATATTTTATAAAGGAAAAATTACTTTTGAACACAAACTTCTTCTGATACTTTGTCCAGTTCTTGGACAGGTGGATCAGTTTTGTTCTGCGCCGTCTCATTTGCTGTAAAAATAAGAGTTTTGAAGAAAATTTGCATTAATTTATTTAAAACTTTATACTTGACGGAACAACTGCAGACTCGGCAGGAACCTCTTGATCTGGCTCTTTTTGCGATGTTGTTAATATGTTGATGGACTGCAAGTTGTTTGTCTTTTCAGGGAGGGTGGAAACAGCAGGAGCAATTATTGTAGAAGTGGGTTCTCCCCTTCCATTCTCTACAGCAGATCTAAAATTTTATAAGATTTTTGTAAGATATGTAGAAATAAAAAAAATTTTTAGCACACATTTTGTTGGAGAACTTGGTCTTTTTCCCCGGAATAACCTCGTCCAATTTTTCGGCAGCCTTACTTTTCACTTTGCCAGCATCTGTTGAGTTAAGAATAAATTATCTATGTTTAAAACAATTTTTGGTTTATCTATTTTAGTAAAAAGTTTATACCTGGAGGAACTGATGACAATGTGTTAGAAACAACTGCAGGGGTGGACAAAACTCCATCTTGAACTTGTTGTTTTTGTGACTTTGTGTTGATGGACTGGGAGCTGTTTGTCTTCTCGGCCAGAATGGCAGAACTAGAAGCAACTGTTGAATTTGAAGCAGAACTTGATTCTTTCCTTCCATCCTTATCCTTCTCTGCGGACCTAAAATTTAAATATATAAAAATATTGTTGGTATAAAACAGTATAAAATAAATAAATTACTTCTCAACTTGCATTTCTGTGGAGCTTTTCTTTGAGAGTTTGTCAACTTCTTTGGCGGATTTATTTTTGACCTGAGCAGTCTCATTGGCTGAAAAAACAATTTCCAAATTATTTACTTTAATAAAATATTTTATAAAAATTTCATACTTTTAGGAACTGATGACGAAGCATTGGACTCGGCAGATAGTTTTTTTTGTGACGGCTTCTTCGTGCGAGGTGTAGCTTCGTAAAGCATCAAAAGTGAATCCAATTCCTTGTCGAAAGAGCAGTCATCGTTTTCTGTTTTGATAGAAATGCTTTCATCCTCCTCCTGCATTGTGCACTGGATTCCCAATTTGGTTTTGAATGCGTCATATTGGAATTGTTGCTTTCGTGACTTTGTTGGAGCTGATGAGTTGATCATTTCAGGAGGGTTTGTTGAATTTACAACGGTGGGTTCTTTCCTTCCAACCTCCACTGCAGACCTAGAATTTAAAAATTTTCATTCGAATTACACAGACATAAAAAAAAAAAAATTACTTTTCAACGAACAATTCCTTAGACCTTTTGTGGAGTTCTTCGGCAGGTTTAGTTCCGACCTGGACAGTCTCAATTGCTGCAATCATCAAGATAAAAATAATTAAATTAGTACCTTTTGACTACACGCCTTTTACGTAGAATCCGAGACTCGAGATAATGAGAAAAAACCAGTGTAAAAAAGTTAGAAAATTCCTGTTATGATAGTAAATTAATTGAGGGCAAATCCACGTAAAAGGCGTTTAGTCAAAAGTTACTAATTTAATTTAATTATTTCCCGTTTTGAGTGGTTTCTTTTGGTTTTAATTCATGCAAAAATAATTGTTTGCAATTTTTTAATGTTTGAAAAAATGTATACCTGGTGCAGAAGCATTAGAAACTGCAGGGGTGGAAGAAACTCCTTGAACTTGTTTTTGTGACCTTGTCGAGCATGTTTTACTTGACGTGTTGATGGACTGAATGCTGTTTGTATTGTTGGCCTGTGTGGTAAAATTTGAAGCAGTGGGTTTTTTCCTTCCATCTTCCAATGCCAACCTAAAATTTAAAGATTTCTGTATGAAATAAAAGACATATACAAAAATGTCCTCTGAACGCACTTTTCTCCGGAAAGCTTGGCCTTTTTCTTTGGAAGTTTGTCTTCATTGGGAGGTTTCGATTTGACTGTCTTGTTGACTGTAAAAGTAATAAACATGACTTGATATTTTTTAATATTTCTAATAAAAAAACTGGTATACTTGGAGGGATTGACGATGGCACTTTAAAAACACCTTCGGGCTTGGCAGAAACTTGTCCTTGGTCCTGTTTTTGTGACTTCTTCTTGCGTGGTATAGTCTCAGAAGACGTCTGAAGAGCATTTTCCAGTTCATTTTCATAAGAGCAGTCTTCTGTTTTGATAGAAATGCTGTCGTCATCCTCCGCATCAAATTCCACAACGCACTGGACACCCAGTTTAGTTTTGAATGCTTCGTACTGATGATTCATTTTTGTTTTTATCTGTATCTGGAATAAAGAATCAGATTTAAATTACACAACCGAGATCAAGATATAAAAAAAACTGAAGAAACCAAACAAAATATTATAATTGGCTGCGAGAGAATTGAATAAGTATTTTAATTTCTGTGAAATTTTGTCTGTGCGCAAAAAAATCCTTTAAAATAATGCAGAAGCTTTAAAAAATCTCAATAAAATTTAAGTTTTTACTTTAACTTTTAAATTCCACAGCGAAATTAAATATTATAAAGATTGCAAATGCATTTTAAGTACATAATTATACACACCGACGAGATGCAGAATTTATGTAAACTTTTATCAAATGAACTTGACGGCGCGGGCGATTATTGTTGTCCCTTTTCTTCAAGCAGCCTTCAAGGACGAGTGCCTCTAGTCGCAGGTCACAACACGTCCATCTGTGCCCTGTGGTGCTTTAATTTCCTTCCAAAAGAACCAAAAGAAATCACTTTGTCGACATTCGGAGGGGCTTAGGCGCTGTTTTTGTTCTGCTTTCACAGGTGGTGCTTTTTGCTTTTCCTCGCTCCCCTTTGCTCTCTCCATTCCTCCCCTCTTTCCCTTCCACTCTTTTTGTTTAGTTTCGCCTAAAGCTCGCGAAATTCTCTCGTTCATGAAGGTTTTCTCCTTGCTCTTCTTGTTTTCATCTCATTGTCCTGCGCACCGACCTCTGACCTCTGACCTCTGATGTCCTAACATCGTCGCTATTCTGTCTGATTCCGTCCGGTCGGGAAAAATCAGATCATGGATTAACGGAGAAGGACACAATCAAACACAAAGTAAGTGGAATTATTTTGTTTTGTTATTGTTGTGATTTTGCACGATTTTTCTTGATTAAATTTACTATTGCAGAGTATTGTGCATGGCTAATTGAATTTGTTGTGTGATTTTTCGGAATTTTCACTTGAAGCCACCTCAGATTTATTTTTTCATAATTATAAAATTTCACCCTCTTGTTATTAGCTGAATGTTGACTTGAAATAAAGGATGGAGCACAAAAAATACACAATGTGAACTTCAGGGCCAAAATGAAAAGTCAGTACGTCTGTATGTCATAAAGGGAAAATTGAAAAAAAATCAAGGTGTGTGATAATGACAATGGACAATATATCATTTTTCTTATTGCATATTAAATTAATTAAATTTGATATATTTATTTTTATAAGATATATATAACAGAGAATAACTTTCTGAAATTTTAGAAAAGAAGAAAAAATACAATCTGACTGATTAAATTCATATTTTTTTTTATCCAAGCAAATCAATTGGTCGATCTGGTCATGGAGGTACAAAAGTTTTGAATATTACCTCATTTTTCCCCTAGTTTTATATACATTAATTATTTTAATCTTGAGGTCTTGGAACGAATTATACTTGGATAATCTTATTGAAAAGCGCTCATATATTTTATTTTTAAATTTCTGCATGTCTTCCTGGCTATTGGCTTCGATTTTTAATTGAATTTTAAGTAATAACTATTTTTGTACTTGTTATATTATCAATTATAATTGTTTTTTATTTTTTTTTCTTCCTGTTTTTGTAAGTGACGGTGCAACTAATTGAGTAAAATTTTATGAAAAAATTCTTAAAGAATGAAATTAAAGCAGGCTTACAAACTCAAATTAACTGTAGTTAGGTAGGATTAAAAATAATTAAACTACGGTGAAATTATATTCTTCTATATACATAAAAATTTACATTATTTATTATTAATTATTACCCTTTTAGAAAATATAAATAAAAATTACAAAAGTTCATTTGCATTGGAAGAGTTCTTTATAGTTTAGCTCTTTAAAAAATATTTTAATTTTTAATCCATGGATATTTCATTTTCGTCAAGAAAAGAGATTCTATGGCCCGGAGTGTCCGCCGCAGAGGGCCGGAGTATTCGGAAAAAATTCAACATCGAGCTCTTCCGTTTATTCTTCGAAACGCTTTTTTCACTTTTTAATGATCTGCTCGAGCCGAAAATTGCTCGGCGACCGCTGCATCTCTGGATGACCTGGACGATGCCCGTTTTGTGTCCTGCCCTGGCAACGTCCGTCGGCGTTTCGAGGCGGTCGTTGAGCACGTCGGCTCTGGCGTCACTTCTGCAGAGCAGGGCGGCGCAGTAGATGTACAGGTACTTGTCCAGGCCCTCTTCGGCCAGCACGTGGAGGGCCGTGTTGCCGACGGTGCAGGCGGCGTTGACGTCGGCGCCGTTGCGAATCAGCAACTCGATGACGCTGAACTTTGGCGAGAATTTGCAGGCGAAGTGCAGCGGCGTCTTGCCGAAGTGGTCTCTGGCGTTGACGTCCATTTGCTTGTCCACGATGAGGAACTTGAGCAGGTCCAGGATTTCCTGGCCCTCGGTCCTGCTGGCCGCGGTCACCACCGTGTGCAGCAAACTTCGGCCGTAGGTGGTGAGATAATTTATAGATTTGTCTTCGACGAGCAACAAATGTTCCACGGCCTCTTTGTTGAGGAATTTGGCCGCCAGGTGGATGGGCTGCTGTCCGTACTTGTTCCTCATTTGCACAAGTTCCGGGTGATTTTTCAGGATCGTTTTAAAAATGCTCGTGTGACCTTTGACCAGGGCGATGTTGAGCAAATTGAACTGCTCGTCGACGAAAAACAAGTCCATCGAATTGTGGCGCAGGAAGAGTTTGGTGCAGTCGTCCCTGCCACTGGCCACCGCTCGTCGGGCCAATTCGCGGATGTGCAGGCCGTCGACGGCGTCGTCCGTCGACCGCATGATGCACTTCTCGTCGCAATCGGCCAGGTGGACGCTGCGAATTGCAGCAGGCAGGGTGCTGGAGAGAACCTTGCAGTGCGTCAGGGACTGTCTTTCTGGGGAATTCGCTCTGTCGGTTTCGTCATCTATTAGGAAGTGAGAGAAATATTCACCTGGAAAAAAGCGGAAAAGCAATTTTTAATTAAAAGCTCCATATTAATTCATGAAAAAGAAAACTAAATTTTACGAAAATTTGAATCAATTAAATAACTTGATTAATTAATAAATTACCGTGAAAATTTTGAAAAAAAAATCAGACCTATTTCACTAAAAATATCATTTAAAAATCTTAATTAATTATTATTAAACTGAAAATTTTAAAGAAAAAATCTGGTTTATTTAATTTAAAAATTTCTTAATTTATTCATAATTTACTGTGAAGCTTTTGAATAAAAAATCCAGTTTAATTGATTTAAAATATCAGTAAATATCTTAATTTATTTAAAATTTACTGTCAAAATCTTAAAAAAATCTGGTTTACATATTCTTTAAATTTAAACCAATTATGCTTATTTGAATTCATAATTGGCTTTTCCTCGGTGGGTTTTGTGGCTTGTTTTTTGTTTATGAAAAAACAAAATCCTGCTCAACATGTTTGCTTTCTTAAACAATTAACAACGCACAAAACCCATCGATGAATAGCTGACTTTAAATTCAAATGATCACCAAAAATCAACCTGGATCATTAAATTGTGCCACAAAATTAAACAAATTAATTTAAATTTAAAAAATTTAATATATATGGTACATTTTAAAGAAGTTTGGTTCTTTGATTTGATCGATTAAATATTATTTTTTATGAATTTTATTTTCACTCACCCCATCCAATTTCTTTGTAATTCTCCTCCTTGATGAGCTCTTTGAACACTGCCCCAAGCATATTCCGGTCCAGCTTCTGAATGAACTCGAGTTTTTTCTCTTCTCTGTAGCGGATGCTGCGCAAAGCTCCGTAATCCAGCAGTAATTTGACGATTTTCCAATTTGACAAGCTCTGCAAACCGTCGGCCGCTGATGACTCGAAAAACGTGCTGATCAGCGCCAGCAGCGGCGACACCGCCACAGTCTCGGGATGCACGTCGGCGCCCGCCTCAAGCAAGACGCGGACCATGTTTTCGTGTTTTAGCAAAACGGCGACGTGCAGCGGTGTAAAGTTGTACATTCGGCTGAGGATGTTTTTATCGTTCGTGGCCGAGACCGAGTAGAGAAAATCGTCCAGCTCTTCTGTGGGTATGCAAATGTTGGAAAATTCAGCCGAGTCGAGTGCCTCTTTTAGTTTAATTTTCTGCCAAAATTTAGAAAACGCTTCTGCGTTATTGTACCGAACTATATCATGAAAAACAAAGAATCTATTTTCCTTGAGACAAAATTCGCACGAATCGCTCAAAAACTTTTCATTTTCCAGAAGATATTTTGAAAAACGTTGCCTATTTTGAGCTACGGCCTCGATCAAGATTGGCACTTCGCTGGACATGTAAGGTCGATATGCAATTCGGTGCCTGGTATAATGGAAGGACTCATTTGCACCTGCCAGGTAGTTAAAAAGGTCTTGCAAATTGTGCTCCATGATGCAGTTCTGAATTTCCCACCTGATGGTAGAGTTTTCCGCGATCATTTGGATAAACAGTTTTCCATTATTTTTTGGCGTTTTCTCTACTTGAATCATTTCATTCAAATACCTCCAAGTGACGCTAGTGAGTTTTGCCGCCAGCAATTTAACCAGGTAAGCGTAGAAAGGATCTACGCCGGCTGGAATCGAACTTAGGCAGTTTGACAGCCACTCTTTCAAATTTGAGCTTTGCCACTCGTATTGATAAAATCCAAGGGCAATCTTCATGGAATAGGCTACTAGAAATTCAGCTATAGTCCTGTGAAAAAATTCATTTCCACCATCCAGAAGTCCAAGATTTTTAATTCGTGTCAGTTCTCTCTGGTCTTTGATTTGTGCCTCGAGTTCAGGTCTCGATTTGCAAATTCCTTCTGTGCCGTATATTTGTCTTAAAGAGTAGAAGATCAAAATGTTAAAATTGTAGCTGAGACGAATTTCTGTAATGTCCGAGTTTGATATTGTTCGCGATTCAAATCCAACCTTATCAAAGTAGTAAACTGTGAACTTCATTTCTAAATACTTGTCTATTAACTGATAGAACTTGATGAGTGTCACATCCATCTGGTGGGCTTTCATTTCAACCAGCAGACGAAGGGTTAATGGCACGCCTAGAGAATTATCACCAAATTCCTTTGCTGTCAGTTTCAGTCTGTCCATTAATTTTTCAATCGTCTCCGGGCAGCAATGCTCATTTTTTGAAGTCAGTAGTTTTTCCAGGAACAATTTCTGTTGCGGTTCTGTGAAAAGTCCCAAGTCATATTGTTCAAAGTTGGTCAAAATTCCGTCACTTTCAATAACGCGCAACGCATCTCTGCGGGTCGAAAGCCACACTTGCGCAACGGCTTTGTGGCCAACAAAAAAATTAACAAGGCGCTGGCAGTTTTTTCGGGAATTATGGCTCACTTCGTCAAACCCGTCAAAGAGGAAAATGACCCTTCCCTCGAGGTGGCTGGTTGCAAAGTTGAAAAGAGCCGTTTCAAAAAAGTCCATTGTAAAATAGGCCTTGATTATCTCCAGCTCTTTGCCGCTAATTTTTTCAGCGTCGTCCAGAGCGCGGTTTAATAACCGCAAAGTGATCATGAAAACGAACAAGTCTTTGTTGAGTTTTTTCATTTGGTGTCGGAAGTTTGCTAGACAGGCCGTCTTTCCCATTCCTGGATTGGCGGCGATCACCCTCAGCACGTTCCTCTGCAGGCCCAGGGACATGTCGAAGGGACTTCCGGTTTTACTCATCGGTGGGGAGTGAATGTAAAAGTCGTTTGCAAATGCGGAAGCCAGAGTTTCCCACGTTCGTGGAAGAAAAGTTCCCTGTTCAAGTCTTTCCGCCAGTTGGAACAAACCGACCGAATTAGAAAATTTTCCCAAATCCTTCAAAATAATTTGGTATTTTTCTTTTTGCAGACCCACTTTTATTTGAAGCACTTCACTTAAACTCTGCTCGCTAAGCTCATCAATTGAAATGTTATTCAATAAAACTTCCTCCATTTCTCTGGTATCTTCACTGAAATTTTCTATGAAAATGTAGTTGAATTTTTTCAGTCGTTCTTTTTTTAAATCGGTGCTTTCTTCTTTTTTAACCACAACGACGAAAAGCAAGTTTTTAATCAAAAGGAAGCGGCTCCTTACATCACTTTGCGCAAACATCCTCTCGTATGATTCCCTATCCGGGAGAACAATTGCCAGCGAATTTGGTTTTTTATACATCCACGTGTTTCTTATCAGCACGGCCAGCAGTTTCTTATCAAAATCAGACGCGTCACGCAATCGTATGACTTCCTTAATTTTTCCTCGCACATTTTTCACGTGACTCAATGATCCGAGGCAAAGATCGTTCAACACAGAATTTCTAAATTTTAAACCAGAAATTCTCATGAGCTCCAGAGGAATTGCGATGTGCTCTTCAATATGCGTTTTTAAAGTCTCTTCGCAATTTTCTTTCGTCGCCATTTTTCTTATCTTCGGCACAAAAATACTTCTCTGTTCAACTGAGACGTTTGCTGGAAATTTAATCATTTTAAAATGAGATCCGTGGATGTAAAATCGTGGTAGATTTTCGTCTGGAAATTCAATTCCCACGCTGGTCGCGAAGTGTATCAATTGCAAAATGCCCAGTTCCTTTTGAGTGAAGGAAAAGTCAGGCCACATTCGAGGATGGAAATCTTCAAATTGTGTTGTGCGGGTTGCGTCGAACCTCCAAACGCTGCCTGCCGCCTTCCTCAGAAGTGCCATTGTTCCGTTGCTTTGGGCCCAATTAAAAATCCGCAGCGAAACCTCTTGGTTGCTTTCAAATAAATCAATGAAAACCAATATTGAGTGTTTTCCAACACTATTGATTAAAACCGGTTTGTTTGATTTCAGTGCTTTGTCCACGCATATCAAGGTGCCAAAATGAACGCCAATTGTGTTGATAAAATTCGGCGCCATCACGAAATTTGTCACATCCAAGAAGGTGGCTGCCCTTTCGAGGACGTTGTGAATCGGGTTGGTTTTCAGAAGTGTTTTTATCACATTGAATGCTCCTGGAGACTCAAAGGTTTCAACGTGAGGGTGTATTTTTTCAAAATCTTCTTCGCATCTTAAACAAAATTCCAGTCCGTTGCCTTTTTTCAAAAATTTGGCCGTAGCTGCCGTGACCTGAGCCAAAACTCCGCCCATCGAGTGGCCGGTGATGATGAGCTGATATCCCAATTTTTCAGATAAGTTTCTTATTTCCTCGGTAAAAGTGCACGCTTCCTGAAGTTGGTAGCCGGTCTCTCCTTGGAAAAGGATTTTGTAATTTGAGAAAATGTTGCCAACAGACGTCTTGACGGTTCCTCTGTGAGCCAAGATGATCTGACGCCGAAGATTGTTGGCCACAGCTAGCCCACGGTAAGAGTATTTCCCGTTGCAAACTGCTATAATGTTCCATTCTGAGAAAAGATTGCGGTGGTTATGTTGAATGAATTTTACAATTTGGTCAGTAGCACTGTACACGAAATTACAAAAATGGGCTAAAGTTATTGTACTCGGAAACGCACTCGAATCATTTGCTTCTGGGTCAGCCGGAGTGCAGAATTCAAGGTTTTTATACTCGTAGGTCGGTTCCCTCAGCAGTATTTTTTCAGCAAGTTTAACCTGATTATAAAATTATTTGATACTTAAAAGTTTTTATATAAATTTAAAATAATTACCTCTGCTCCCATGGTGTTGATTCACATCTTGTAAAAAAAATACCAATTGAGCAAATTAGTAAAAATATTTTATGAATTCCGTGGTTTGACAACGTCAAAGTCTAACAAAGAACTGACTGAATGAATTTTTTATCTCATTATGCAAACGCAGTCAACTAACCGCAGAGTTGGAAGTATTTCCTCCTGTTTTTATAAAATGCTTTATTTTGCACTTACACATGATATCATAGCTATCTTATCTCCAGCTTAGAATATATTTTATATCATGTAATTTCAATTTAATCAGAAACATTTACTAGAAAATAAAATTATCAAATTATACAAAAGAAAATAAAAAAAATTTAATTAGTAATTTTATATCTTATTATCGAGACAGCAAAAAAATTTATTTTTAGCACTATTAATAATTTTATATTTCAGATCAATAGTTTCAATTGTTTTTCTATTTTTAATTTTAGACGATTAAAGGTAAATAGGAAATGATGAGCAGACTCACATTTTTTAAATTTATATTTTATTTTATAAATGTCTTTTATATGAAATAAATGTAATTTGCTGTATTTTTTAATTTCATTTTAATCAGAAACATTTTACTAGAAAATAAAATTACTTTCAAATTATACAAAAGAACATGAAAAAATCTAATGCTTGTCTCTATGGTTATTTTACATTTCATTCTTGGAAGAGCAAAAACAGTTTTTTTTGCATTATTCATAGTTTCAAGCGGTTTCAAGTAACAAAATAATTTTTTTTCCTTATTGTACTTTTGATGATGATTAGGTAAAAGGAAATAATGATGAGCAGACACATTTTTTTTTTAAATTTTTTTTTTTATATATAAATGTCTACTCACAACCTTTTTTTAAATATTATTTTGCATATTTTATCATTTATTACATGTAAAATTTTGCTGTAATATTGTGTTCAGTTGTGTATTTTTTGCGCTAGATTTTTAAAAAACTTTGTAATATTTTAAGGCTTCGTATAATTTGCACATATACAAAAATTATTCAGATTAAAAAATTGCTTTTTAAAATTGGTCCTGTCTGACTTGAGGGAAGCAGTTTGAATTATATGAATGTTCTGAATATGAAATCTAGCACAGCAGACACCATTATCGCTCAGCGTTGTACATTGACATTTTTGATGTTAAATTTGTAATTATTTTTTCCCAGTTACGACAAAGGCGAAGCACTATCGGCCCTAATGCTTGGGATCCCCACGTCATTGTACGCTATTGTGAAGATGCTCTTCTTGTTGGTTAGGTAGGCTAGGCGCTTGCTCCTCTCCTCTCCCATCGCTATTCCCGAGTCCAGGTCGTCTTCCCACGGCGCCCTGGTCGAATTGATCAGGGGTACCAAAGTTACGTCTGTCTGTATTGAAGACTCTACCGCTTCTTTAAGTGCGATGTCGGCTCTCGGCTCGTCCCTCTCCTCACCTCTCTCCTCTTCCCCTCCACCATCCTTGCTCTCGGTGTCGCCATCAGCAACACCGTGCACCAGCTCGGCCACCGTCGCATCAACGACCTCGACTCGTGGTTGGGAGTTTTTTGAACCGGTCTGTTTCCCATTTACACTTTTCTCAACCCGGTTCAATGACGTCTTGGTGTGCTTAGACTTAACGTCATCTTTGTTTGACGATTTGTGTTCACCTAGAATCATAAAGGAGGATCTACTTTTCGCCTACCTAAGCTAAACGGGTAATTTATCAACCCACCTCTTTTGCTGTGTTGCGGTGGACTTGGACTTTTGCTAGGTCCTCGTCTTGACTTTGAATGATCCGTCTTCCTAGGACTAGGACTGTGCTGTCTACTATCCTTGCTCTTCCTAGACGTGCCAGGACTGCTAGGCTGGAGCAGTGAGTTCCTCGACTTGACCTCCTCCGACCTGTTGACGGCCGCCGCCTTTCTAACTGGTTGTGCCGGTGCTTGGGCGGCCATGGGCTGAGGACTGCTGTCTCTAGTTTGTCTTACTTCTTCTACTTTGCTTTGCTGTGGTCCTTCGTCCATCACTACCTCGTACGCCTTGGGTTTGTTCTCTTGCTGCTGTTTGTGCCTCACGTCTGTGCTGCTGCCGGCGGCACCGGTTGTGATGGTGGCGCCACCGTTGCCGGTTGCTTCTTTCTTGCCGCCGAATGACGAGCTGACATGCTGGCCTGCCTTGCCAGTTTTCTTTTCTTGGGCAGCATTGCCGGCCTTTGTTTGGGATCCGCCACCCCCTGCTGCTCCTGATGACTGCTTGACTTGCTTGAGTTCCGGCGGCTTTTTGAGGACGGTTTTCCGGATCCCTTCACGATCTTCCACTTTCCAAGGAGCTTTTTTGATTGAATCAGCTCTTGAGCCATTTCTGGAAACAGAGACAAATTGGTTTTGCTAGAAAGACAGGAATCGATACACACGTGTGGCGACGACGATGACTACTCACCTCACGAAGTCGTCGTCCTCGCCATCAGAGACACTCGGACTGGCGAACGTCACCTTGCTGGCCTTTTCCAGGCCAGAATTTGACATGCTCTTCTTCTTGCTCAGGTTACTCAACCCGCCCTGCTGCCTCGGCAGCGACTGGCTGCGACTGCGATTTTTCTCTTTGTTCGATTGTCTCCGCAGCATGTTAGCCTTAGTGTCTGCAGCAATGTACTCGCCCTCGATGACGTCATCTTCCTCATCTTGGTCCTCTGTATCCTGCCGCCCGATCATCAACAGCTCATCATCGTCATCAGTCTCCAAAAGTCGGATGCTTTGATCCTCCATGAACCGTCTCATTATCATATCTTTTCCCATTTGTCTGGTCTGACTGTCTTCATCGTCGTCTTGGTGGGAGAAAAGCCTTAAAACTTCTGCATTGCCTGCTTTTGTGTAGTGCTGCTCACGAAACTCCTAAAACAATTATTTTCAGATTCTAATACTAAATTATTATAAATTATTTGAAAGTCGGAAATCAACCATTTTTGTTATTTTTAAATTTTAAGAAGGCTGTTCAACATGTTGCAGTAAATTTAGAAAATATTAATTAAAATTATTAGTTTGTATTTTTTAGCTTGAAGTTGCAACATTTTAACTGAATTTAAATAATTTAACAAAGTACAGTAAAATGATTATGAATGAAAATTAATTTAATGGGTGAGATGCATGAAAGTGCAATTACATTTTCTTACCCTATCTTCGTCTGGTAAAGTGAGAACTTCAACTACGCCCGTGTTGTGAGAGGGGATGATCCTGCGGGCAATATCGGACCCCCTTTCCATCTCGTGCCTCCTCACCGACGAATCTTCGTCGGCCTCTTCAAACAGAACCTCCGAGTTGAAATTGCCTTTTCTCGGATAAATGTGTGGCCTCTCCAGGTCGAGGGCCATCGGTGTGTCCGTGTGAATGACGGACTCATCGTCGTATACCTTCATGTCGTGGTTCTGCAGCTCCCTGGTGTAGATCACGTTCGGCCGCTCGTGGTGCCTTGGCACCTTTTCACTCCTGGTTGAATACGAGTCCTGAATTTGCGGCTTCGGGTCCAGCGTCAGAACGTTGCGTCTGTTGAATTGGACGTAGCGATCGCGGCCATCGGCACTCCAGGCCTCTCTTCGAATGACTAAAAAAATTAAAAGTAATTTCAAATTATTTTTATTTAAAAATAATTAATTAATTATTAATTTACCAAATTTGTCACCGTCCACTCTGTCTGGTCGCTCAAGAACCAGTCTCACTTCCTCTGTAGGCCTAGGTGGTGGTGGAGGAGGCGGAGGAGGCTCTTTTCTATTTCAAAATAAATTAGTTCAAATAAATTTAATTTATTTTCAAACCTTTCAATGTAAAGCGGGCAGCCAGCAAAAAGGAAGCAAATCACGAGCGCAATCAACGCGACCAGCAGTGCCAAAGTGAAAAACACCATGAACCAAAACAGGGCACTCGTGTCAGCTCGATATTCCGTCTGTAAATTTCAAAAAGTAAACCACATTTATTTTATCGCAATAAAACTCACAATGACCGCTTTGGTCACAACCGGTGTTTGATTGGCCATCAGGCGTTGCTGCATTTCAGCTACATCTACAATAGCTGGTTCTCCTGTGTAGGAAACTTCAGCCACCACAACACTCCTAAAAATAATTTAATTAAACAATTTTATTAATTTTTTTTCTTTAAATTTGTACTTGTCTGTGTGGCTTGCTCCAGGAGCAAGATCCGCAGCGATCAGAGTCTCTCCAGGCTTGAACGGCCTGACCTCTTTGATGTTGACCTTTCCGCCCGTCAGCTGCATTAAAAGTTTCTCCGTTGCCCGCAGGTCGGAGAGCACCTTTGTCGGCGAGTTCGGCACAATGAAGACGACGGAGCCTTTCGGCGAGGCGTCCACGATTGCCGGCTTGATTCTTACCTCGGCCGTGCCCCATCGGTGAGGAACGCCTGGAAATGTAAAGGTAGGCAACACGCTTATCTCATATGTTGACACAGTTGCATAGTCATTCATTTAATATTTTTTTCTTTTAAGTAAACAACTTTTTAACTATTGCAAGAATGAGACAAGATTTTCAATAAAAAAAACTAATTTTTAAAATAAAAACTTACCTAAATCGTAGGCTCTGACGAGCAAAGTATATAACGAAGGTTCTTGCGGTTTGAGCAAATTCTCTCTGTCCTCCCTTCGCGGGATGACTTTCAATTCTCCTGCAATTTGAATGATTATTTTTTATCAATAATTATTTAATATTTAACAGACCTGTGATCGGATCAAGGTAAAACTTATTCGCGAAATTTCCGCTAATGATCTCATAGCGCACGGCGTTATTGGGCGCTTCGGCGTCTCCATCAGTGGCCTGGAATTTAGATTTTTTAAGCTGGTCTTAACTGAAGCTCACTCAATTCAATGTAATTTTTACTTTCAAGAACACTCTGGTGGAAAAGTTGTTGTTGTCGGGCGACAAGTACAGGTCGTAGGATGAGTATTCGAAACGCGGCGAGTGGTCATTGACGTCAATAAGCGAGATGACCAGCGGCACGGTCGAAGCTCGCCCGCCGCCGCCCTCGTCTCGCGCTTCCACGTAGAATTTAAATTCTGTCCGTTCAGAAAAGAACAAGTCAATTTAAAAATATTGATTGATATTTTTAAATAAGACCCAAAGTATATTTAAATTTAAAACATCAAATTTTCTTAAAATGATTTTTTTTTTTTAAATTGAAAATTCTATATACAAAAAAGATTAAATTTGAAATATTTTTTATGGGATTTTTGTCATTATATTTTACTTGAATGTTTAATTCGTGAAGATCGATTATTATTATATCAAACCTGGGGCGATTTCTCTATCAAATCGGTGATTGTTGGCGGCCACTGTGACTTGTCCGGTGTAGGGGTCAAGGTTGAGGGACTCATTTAACTGGCCGAGAATCCTTGTGTACCTGACCTCGCCGTAAACGCCTGTGTCCACGTCCTCGGCGTGGACTTGCGTCACCGGCGTGCCTGCGGTCGCATTTTCGGGCAGGACTGCCGCGTAGTTGGGCTGGCTGAATAGGGGTGGGTTGTCGTTTACATCGCTCACCATGACAGTCACCGAGGCAAGGGCGGAAAGGGCGCCATTTCCTGGTTGGTTCACTTCTTTGGCCAAAATCTTTCGGAAGAAAAATAAATTATATAACTATAAAATCAACTGTTTTTGTTTTCTAAAATTAAAATTTTACAGATAACATAATTAAAATTTCATTTTCATTTTATACACTTAATTTCATCAGTCTTTATTTAAAACATTTTTATTTTATATAAATTTACCTTAAAGTTGAGCGTTTGGTATTTTTCGTAATCCAGCATGGCGTTGTTTTTCACTCTGATGATGAAATTGGCGCTTCCCTCTACCACGGACGGACTGATTTCAAAAGTTCCGTTGTCCCCCATGAGGCTGAGCGAAAAAACTCCTCCGAGACCCTGAAAAGCAATCGAAACTCTATATTTAGATAATTTCCTTTCCATTATTTTTATTCGACTCATTTTAATATCAATGCTTTGGAGCAGAATCTGACTTGGTGATGAGGGCGTGTATCGCTTTCTATAGCATTTAACTCACCACGTCATTATCTCTGACCCTGGGCAGCCAAGGATCCGTGAAGGTCAGAGGGGTTCCTGGAGAACTGTCCTCGGGAATGGAAGCGACGTAACTGGAACAAAGCACGAATAATTCAGATTCGGAAAAGCGTAGAGAGATAAATTTAAGACGTCAAGAAGTCAGAGGGAAATGTTATTTCGTTTGCGGCGCAGTATCTCCTCCTCCAAATTAGCCCCGCGACGGAGCTGATTTGCATTCGGGGTCAGCCGATAACAGCACCCCCATTGTCAAACAAGCAGACCATCACTTCTCGCATGCCGTGTGGTCACTTCCTTTAAAATCCAACCCCCTGCCAGCCGACGCGCCCTACATTTCATTTTTCTATGGGCGAATTTTCTGAATATTGGTCGCTCATTTGCATTAATTATCAAAACTTTCTGACCCACGAAATATAAATAATAATAATAATAAATTCTCAACAAAGAAGAGATTATAAAAATCAATAAATATAGAATACGAATGTAATAAAAATGGCATGAAAATAATAAGCAATTTCCAAGAAATAAAAATATTAAATGCTTGAATTAAAAATTTCCTAATTAAGTAATAATCACATTAAATCAAACAAATCACTGCAAATATTTATTTAAAATTGAATTTTAAATAATTAAATTCTTTTCTCACCTTTCACTTTCGAACATTGGTGGTTTGTTTGTCGAGCCTGGTAGAATCAGAGCCAGCTCTGCTTCGGTGCTGATCAGGTGCTCAGGGTTGTCCTCCTGCCGACCGCCGGTCACCACCTCCTCGGCAATAACCCTGAGCACCACAGGCGTGTTGGGCTTTATGATGGCCCTCAGGTCGTCCAATGACCTCGTCAAACGCAGTTCACCTAAAAAGAATCAAAATTTTGTAAATTAAATAAAAATTAAATTAAAATTTTTAATTACCTGACGTTTCTCCAATTCTGAAGAAGGGTGTGAAAGGGTTGCCCTGAGTCAGGAGGCCGTACCTGATTTCCCTTGGATTTCCTTTATCCCCGTCTTCGGCCATCACTTTCAAAATCATATCCCCCTTATAATATAAAAAGTTTAAATTTTGGTTTGAAAATTTGGCTGGAAATCTTACCGGTCTGATTGTTGCGGGCAATGATGTGACTGGGGGCGCTTGAATGAAGACAGGCGGTGTGTCTTGGACGTCGGAAACAACCACAGCCAAATCAAAACCGAGGATGTTTCTCGTGTCCTCCAATGAGTTTGTGAATGGGTCCTAATGAATTCAGAAAATGGTTATTCAAATGAAAATAATAATTTAAAATAAAAAAATTCAAATTCAAAATATTTAAATATTCCACAAATAATAATTATTATTAAATTAGCTCAGATTATTATTAATAAAAAATTCTAACTGTTGCTGCCATGTGAAGGGGGTACAAATTTTGCTTCTCGTAGTCGAGTTCCTCCATCAGGATCACACTGCCGTTGGACACGCTATTTCCGGCCAGTCGCTGCTTCATTTTGAACATGGACGCACCCTTGGGGAAAGAGAGGCATTTCGTAAGTGTAGGGAAATGTAAGGGGCGAGTCACACTTCTTACGTTGAGCTCGAGGTATGCGTGTCTGGCGTGCAGGTTACTCTTCCGTACCAGAAAGTACTCCAGCTCGGCGCCAACCTTGGTGTTCTGGAACGAAAGGGCATAAATTTATTTATACATTTATGCTGAGTGTGGAATTAGAGCAGTTTTTACAGCCTGGTGACCTGTTGTTGTATTTAATTATAAAATTTATGCTCGGATTTAAATTTACAAATATTTTTCTTGGATTTTTATCACGGTCATTGATCAAAATGTCAAAATGTTCCTAGAGCCGCGTAAATAAAACCGAGTTGCAAAACTTTCGGACAAGTGGCGTTGTCGTGACTATTTGCATATTTCGCTTTATGACTCGCGAGAGAAGAAGAAGTGAAAACAACCCTCACGCCACAAACAAAGAAAAGTAAAAAATAAATGCACCACCAAGTGCATGCATATTCAAAGAGTGAAATTGAACCTGGGAAAACTTTTATTCTTTTAGCTCGGAACGGCTGCTTCTGCCTCATTAGACAAACTGGTGAAATTTTGATGAGCCTGATCGATACCGCCAATGCGTCCATCCCGCAATGCAAAGCAAACCGTCTGAATTTTTCATCGCGCGCTTTTCCAGCCGACACACAAATATAAATCGAGAGTATGCGGTCTTGTGGAAAGCCAGACTCTTAAAAAAAGTGACCTACTTTTCACCAGAAAACAAAATCAATTTATTCGGAGGGCTCGAGTTTTATTTTAAGCATTTGACACTCAAGAAGTTTAGGATTGTCGCTTTTCCAACTGTCGTTGCAAATATTCAGAATTTTGGTTTATAAACAAAATATCTTGATTTTTTCACCCCTTGCGTAAATCCGAGTGCGTTTCTACTTTTTATTAAGAGACGTCAACGGATTAGGGGGAGAATTTTCCACTGACAGGTGTATCGTTTGGAGGGGCAGGAAAGTTTGGCAAACTCACTCTTTTCCAGGCACGCACATATACACACCCGTCCACGTGCTCTCAGGTACGACTTTTAGTGAGAACGGGTGTTTGTGTTTACACTGCTTGAAAACTTTCTTCCACTGCAGTGGAAAGTGGGAAATACGTGGACGAAACAAAAATACTGCATTATTTTCAGTTTAAAATTATGTAATAATAAAAACTGTTACTAAAGAGGTTGAAGAATTATGTAAAGAATTAATTAATTTTGCTACATTTGAAATTGAAAATAAATTTACAGAACCTTGAAAGTTGCGTAATTTCGATCTTGAAAGTTTTAGCAAATTTCTTTCTCGGTGCATTTTGTCCAACAATTCAATGTTCACCTTACAACAGTCGATTTTTTGCAGTACATACAAAAAATTTATAACAATAGGAAAAATAAACAACAATAATGATAGATTTAAATTTTTAAGAATTTTCTAAAACGGTAAATATAGTTTAAAATTTTTATATTATTAATTAAAGAAAAACAGAACAAAATCTAATTTTTTGTCTATTCAGTATTTTTTATTCATTCAGCAGGTAAAATGGATATATATAAAGAGAAAATTTGAAAATATTTTGAAACATTCAAAAGTGACTATTATAATTAAATATTCCGTTTACAAATCTTAAGAACAAAAATAATAAATTAAACAAAATTATAATTTCTTTTTTGAGAAAATGATGATTACTCACTTCTGGCACCATGATGAGCGTTGAATATCGCGGAAAAGCCGTGTCGAGGGCGGCGACCGACGAGCCAGGGGTGGCTCTCAGGGTGGCTTCGACGTTGGTCTGGTCGCCCTGCGCGTCTCGCACGGACATCGTGAACTGGTACAGTCGGTTCTTCTCCAAGGGCTTGGCCAAAATCACGTTGGCCTCGCACACGGAGTAATTCCTGGCACACGGAAGATTCTCCACCCGCAAAAGACTTCGGCCCGTCCGACCTAAATTCGCAATAATAAAATAAGAAATAAAAATTCGACGATTGAAATCAAAATGGGTTTACTGCGCGGTTTTATAACTAAAGAGTGAGTGAACTCTAACGTTTTGATCGGTATCTGAATAACCGCCCCGTTTCTTAGGTCATAAGCACTTGTGTGTTTCTCTGAATGGCGGCGCCGCGGAGAGGGAGCAGTGTTTCCACTTCCGTGCACAGAAAAATAGGAAATTGAGATGGAGGAGGTAAAAAGAAAAGAAAAATAATCACGATTGAGTACCGTGCCACACTACAAAATTCACAATCAAACGAGCTATTATTAGATTTGAGCAATAAACACGTTTGCCGCTCTTTTGACCTATTTCTTTCGTTAATTATGCAATCGGAAAAAAATTAAAATGAACGAAAAGCATTAAAAATTTTATTATTTTGATTCAAAAAAATAAAAAATAAACTAATTTTATGCAATAGAAAAATTAATAATTTATTTTAACGTTATAATCAGTGTAATTATAATTTTTATGATATTTAAAATTTTTTGCTCGAATTGGAAAATTAAGCAAAATCCAAAATTTCAGTTCAAACACCTTAAATTGAACAATCTTACATTAAAAATGATAATTGTGATGAAAACGTTAAATTGATCCTTTTATTGTGTGTATAAAATTAGATGAATTTTTTTGCTCAATTTGAAATAGAAATTTTTTAAGTAATATTTTACGAATCTGTAGTTTCCTCTACTAAAAATTATCTTTATAAATTTTCCTATTTTGTTGAATTTTCAAGTTATTCTGAAGTAATTGAAACTCACCCTGGACGTCGAAACTCAAGGGGTAGTCGTAATCCGAGTCGGTGGCCCTGACCCTGTATATGGCGCTGCCGACCCTGGTGTCCCACGGGACGAGCAGCACGCGCATTTTGGTGGACTCGTCGAAGAGGGGGTAGTTGGCCGCGACCTGTTGCGCCAGCGCCGCGGCCAGCACCAACCACACCTGCACCCTGAGCTCCATCTCAGGGCTGGTTCGCCTTTTCTTGTTCACTCGGCGCACCCCTTGCCGGGTCGTTCTCGAGGGGCGTCATGTCCTCGTGCGTGACCACCAGGCACTGACGCCGCGCCACTCTTGCTCTCGGGGGTAGGTGCGAAGCCGAGGGGTGCTCTGGAGGGGTGGCGAGCCAGCTTGACCACGCGCACTATGCCATACTGCCCCTAATCATATGCAACAGCCAATCGATCTCCCTCTTGCTGTTTTAATACAAATATTTTCGGCCTCTTTATTGAGCTATGCACCCTTTCTAAACGTACGTGTGCCCGAATTTTTTCGTAATAATAATAATATCAGTAGTCGCGTGACGGGAACGTCGTTGTGCAGAAGCAGTTGAGAATGGCACTTGCGGTTTTGCTCGCTTGCTCAAATTTTTAAACGTGCTATTATAGCAGCAGTTTTTCCCCTGTTGAAATTAACAGTTTCTATCAAATTATGGCAAAAATTCAATTGAAAATGTGTTTTTATTAATTTTCAACGAAAAATTAATAAATTTTCATTTAAAATTAGCTTGTTTAAGAACCAATTCTGCATTGAAAATCTTACTAAAACTACCAAGTTCCTCTTTAACGCTCTGGCCTCTTTATAAAATTTCTTATTGTGATTTTTTTAAAGCATTTATGTGATGTATTAAATGTGATTTATTTTAATTTCTTCATTTTTATTTTGTCTCGAGACAAACTATACAAAAATTTCATTAATGATTAGCTCACTTCCTCATTATGAACTTCCCAAGTGATCAGCAATGTTAAAACTTAATGCATCTTATTTTCACCTATGTAATTGCTATTTTGTTATTATAAATTATTAAATTCATCACAATAATATTTTAAAATTTATACTGTCGAGTTATTAAATTAATTTAAAATAATAGTAATTATTATTATTGTGGTTTTTATTGAATAGAATGTATAAATAATAAAATATATATAATTTTTTTTAAACAATAACCTTTAAAATTTTGCTTGATCAATTTGAAATTTAATTTTATATAAAAATGTATGTTGGTTGCCATTGTAAATTCTATAGTTATAAATTAACTTGATTGTTAGACTTTTTAGCTTGTTTGTTATGAAAATAAAAAAGTTACAGACATTAAATTTGAATTAAAATGAGCTTTGTCATATATTTAATAAAAAATCCTAGTTTCTTGACATCAGCTTCATAGTTTTATTGCTGACAGAAATCATCATAAATTATGTTAAAAATGACAGTAATGTTCTTAAAAACATTCGTGTTTATATTATTACCAATGTTGAAATTGCATGCAAAGTTCAAGCAATATTTAGCTTTGCAATATCCTTGGCACCCTCTGCGTTTCCCATAGTAAAACAACATCCCTGCACATTACATTACATAAGCTCAGAATTTCATTCAGGTGTGAAATCGATTGGACACACACGAAATGCATGCATTCGCCGAGCGTGTTGCTTTCCGGTCAGTCAAAGAATGACGCCTGATGAGGCAACCCCATTTTTGTTAATGCGTGTTCAGATGACCATTGGAAAGTGGGTCAGTAGGCAGATGAAGATTCTCAGACAATGATTTCCATCAAAAACTAATAAAAATAAATTCGATTTTTGTCTTCTTTTGATTGATTTTTTTTCGGTGAGTTGAACGAAAATGAAGAATCAAATCGGCGATCAAGAAATGAGATTTCGTGTTGAAATGAAAATCGAAAGCGCTTCTTAAGATACTCCTGGCTGCATTATAATTCGTCAGCAGAGCAGGGATTCCGCACGCAACACGCACATAAATCCTTATTTTTTATTATTGCACCGAACAGGAGTGGATCAATCTCTTTCGAAAAGTGCGAAACTTTTCCCATATAAAGGCGGAGGAAATTTGACGAATATTTCTCCAGAATGAGCGACGGACTTCTTGGAATGGAAGAATTAACTCAGACGAATTTGTATGTGTGAGAGCGTGACTTGAGTTTGATCACTTGACTGACAGTTGCTTATTCGAAAATCAATTGATCGTTTACGAAGTAAATCAACTCAACTCTAAAGACGATGAAAGTTTGGTTGAATTCTTAGAAAAAATTGCAATGTAATCGAAATTTTGCGAACTTGATTTTCAGCTGCATTGATTTGCTTCTTTCAAATTTAAAATAAATATTTAGAAGTTTCTTAGAAGAATATAAATATGATTTTAGCTATAATAATAATTACACCGGTGAAAGAGTCTTAAACTATATTTTAATTTATTCCATTCTGAAAGGAGATATTTGCAAATTGTGTCATAGTGATTCAAAATATATTGTGAGCGAATAAAAGAAAACTATTTTTAGTTTTAACTATTTTAAGACTTTTATTTTAAATTTATGAAACAATTAAAAGGTTTTTTTACTTCAGAAATATTTATTTATACATATCTTTGTAGAAATTTATATATTTCATTTTTTTATTAAATCTCTTAAAAACCATTATTGAGGTACATTTTATTCAAATTCAAGGACAATAATTAAAATTTTTAACACAAAATAAATTGAAAAGGGTTTAGATTTACAATAAAAATGTCAATGATGTAAATTAATTAGCAAATTCGAAATAAAAGAGTTTTTCAGTAATATCAAAATTAGCTCAAAAAAGCAAATAATTAAATTTAATTCCAACATATTTCACTTTTTTCTCACAAATAAAACTCCCTTGCATTTCAGAGTTTTCTTTTATTTTTATCTCTTTTCATCTGCGGTGAAAATTCAAGGGAAACGTCCTTGACAAATTAATTAAGTTTCATTCCAAGGCAAAAATAATTAGCTCAAGTTTCGAATATAACATATGAAATTATTTGCGTGCGCGATTTTCTTTTCCATTGCGTCTTGAAATAACCGCGAAAGCGCGCACGGAAGAAGTGGCCGGTGCGGTTTTGAGGTCACTCGGCGCGGCATACAAAAGAAAGATTTGTATAACTCGCGGCGGCGAGTATAAATGCGTCCTTTGTAAATATTCATGGGGCGTATACGGCCGGTCAGCCAGGTCACGTCACCCCTGCCCACCCCCGGACCGCAGAAATGACCGCGGCCCTCACTTGAGCAGCTAAGGGCGCTTTATTGCTATCTTCAGCCTAGATCTGTGAGAGGCGCACGAAATCATATTAAGCGTCTCTCTCCCTCCCTCAACGTAGCTTTTAATTTTTCCACTGCATTATTCACGATCTTATCGCGCGCGGCTCAAGGATTTCACGGCTTATGCTGACCACTTAAGGATTAAAAGTGGATATTAAAGGTGCATGTTCAGTTTTAAAGTTTCACAAAATCGTATTATTTTCTTCATAAGCTTAAGTAAATTAAATAAATAATATAATTATAATAATTAATACTGAATTAATTATACAATAGTTTAATTACTCAATCGACTAGACTGAAACTCGTATCTGCCTCTAAAGAGTGAATAATTAATCGCTATTACAAGTGGCACTACAGCTTTAAGGAGGGGCTCCTGCTGAAAAACGACATGATTATTTTTTATGGTGTTGTTTTTCGCAAAAAGCTTGTACAGATTTCCAAATAGAATACATCAGAGAAACTAAAAGTATTGGATGAACTGATTTTTTTTGTTTTTAAATTTACATGCTGCTGAATCTCATAGATGCAAAAAAAGGGCCCTCAGGCTTGTGTACGAGCGGCACATCCCTGACGCGGATTTTACCTTTGCCGCACTTTTCGCCGCTTCGAAGACCCTCCCCGATATGACTCATTGTCAGTGAACTTGTTCTCTGATGTCAAATGACGAATCTTACTATAGTCGCAAAAATCTTCCTGTTGCACTTTTCTTCTGCGATGATATCCTCCAGTTTTTTTACTTTTCTGGGACTTCTCACCTTGTTTTCTGCGATCACGTTGCCTCTTCTTTTCTTTCGCTCCTCACACTCTCCTCCCGCAGAATTTGGTTCGCCTCGTCGCCAATTGAAAGGTCGTTCAAAAGGGCTTTTTGGTCTGCTTTTTGGCCTCTGCGGCCGCTCTCAGGTCTCAGGCGGGAGAGAGGAATAAAACACGTTCGTTCCGTTTCTAGACCATGTGTAGATAAGACACTGGTTTTAATGATCTCTACTTTGTATTGTTTTTTTTTCTAAATAAATTTTATCGTGGATTCATAGAAACTGAGCGCGAAAATCTGTTTTGAAACGAATTAAAATGTCCAAATTTGAACTTCTTAGGAATTTGTAATTCTTTTCAAAACAGATTAAAATTTCTGTTTCCAAAAACATTAATCTTTACACTTAAAACTCTAAAAATGAAGACAAACGACGAAACCTGGAACATTTTGTATTGCCAACCTAACAGAGGAAAGTACTCATATTTAACTTTATATTATATTTCTATATTTTCAGAAGAATAATAAAACCTTTAACTATTTAAAAATTATAATATTTAATTTAATTAACATTATGCATTATACAGCATTAAACATGTAATAAAAATACATAATATTTTGTTTCTAAGCAGTGTATGTGCAGCTACGATAAAATCTAATCTAATCCAATATCAATTAGTATAACATGAAACCTTTTGGAATATTACATACTTACAACGAATAATAAACGTGTTTTTGAGCTTTAAAACATGAGTTCATTAAAAATAAAATCATCAGGCCTTTCATATGAATAGAATTCTTCTGTGCTGCTGCTTGTGCTTGCAGAAAAAATGCTTGATATGTCTTCTTGTATGTCATTTTCGACTTTTAGATTGCGATTCTCTTGCTTCACGGGAGGAAGAAACTCCTGAAATTGTATAATCATCAATTAATAATTCGCAAGCAATAATATAAATTTTGTAAAAGTGAATTGAAGTTGCCTAGAATATTCAGTATAATCCAGATCAACATATTTTTACAGTGACAGATTTTTTTGTGAACCCTAAAATTCTCTGTCAATTTAAACTAGAGTCTAAAATTGAGCATTCCACACTAGGATTAAATTATGAATTAAAAATGTATTTTCTCACTTGATCAATGCCGCCTTTTTCATCCTTTTGTTGAAGCTGTGTATCGACTCTGTAACATTGTTGCTGGCTTCTCCTGTGTTGGAATTCCTTTTCT